TAACCGTTCCGTCAACTGAATGCAGCGCAGGTTTCCAGATTGCTTCCCGGCGTCGCCCAAACCGGGCCGACTCGGATTCCAGGTCCACCAACTAAAGATTCACTGGGCAACCACTGCTGATGGCATCCCCTTTCCTCGGAAACAGCCTCACCGAGTGGCCTAATGGTAATTTAATGGATCCAATGGTCCGCTATTTCCCGTAATTTTGCTCCTTTTGTGATTTTCTTTGCTTTTCTTTTTCTTACCGGCTTTTCCAGCAAACACCTGCATGTGGTCCATGGCTGCAGGGGGGGAATCGGGTACCTTTTATAATGCCGGCAACCCGGAGAGTAATGACGCAGAGGAATTGTTGGCCGGTAAAAAGAATAAACAGCAGTAAAATAAATTAATCCCATAAATACGGATACAGTGGGAAAAAGGGTGAAAAAAGAAAAGAAATAAGAGAAATCCTACGGATCCATTCTCGCTTCCCTCGGCCTCCACCCACTGGATTCCCGACCCGCCAGAACCCGACTATCAAGTCCACAATTGGGACCCCCTTCCGGCTCACCCCAACAAGCAATCCGGCTCGACACCAACTGGCCCGCTGAAAAGCTCTCCCCCAGTATATTCACACAGCTTGATTTGAACGGGCCCGGACGCCCTTATATAGTGCCCCGACGCGCTCGCGTTTAAGACAGGGGAACTGGCGGCTCTGCTCCGTGGGAAAAAAGCGCCGGCTGCAGCTCGGCTGATCGCAGGAGCTTGGCGGACCCACACAAGCTCAATTCAGGGTTGCGACGTTGGCGAACGAGCTTGCTATCCAGATGTTTCTTTGATATTTCAGTTGACTAGAGTCAAAAGAATTGATTTCAGACCGTTAGAACTCTTGTTCGTGCTATATCTCCTGGGAATTGGACAGTATAAGGCCAGCTAGAATACGAGGTCGTGAGAATACACAAGTCGGTGGCGCCCGGAATAGGAGGGTCGGGTGTTTTAGGGTACATCTTAAATTACCAACGATACGCATAAAATACGATAGATTACGCAGGTCCTCGACTCATCGCGGCATCATCGACCCGCCGTGAGGTCATGCGTGTCGGATTCTTGGCAAGGCCAGCTGGCGAAGGGTCCTTGGTATGGTGAATGGCTGAAGAAGCCACACCCTTGCTTCCCTCCCATGGATATACAGCATGAAATAAAAACAATGCAGTTACCACAAGTTATCAATGACCGATGGATATGCATCCGCTTTTTTCCAATATCTGCCTCATATCATCCGACGCCGGAGTCAGGGGCGAACGGTGTGTTGGCCACAACACTCCACCTGATGGGGCGTATGGGTCGACCTGTGAAACGAAATGCCCCATCACCACCTCTACCACACCGTACATGATGGGAACTCGTATTGACCTTGTTTCATTTCTTACAGCACTCTTGAATTTCAAGGGACGCGTTGCGGCAGAAACACCCTCTATACCATCAAGAAACAAGGAGACTCCGGCCCAGCTGGGTAAATTTCGAGACCTCGGAGCTGGCGGCTGTTCCTTTGGAAACCGATACCCATAATTCGTAGCTATGCTTCTTAACTGGGGTGGCCATGGGAGCTGTGAGCTTGGGCTTGGACGTTGAAGAATGACCAGCTCAAACTTTTCCAGACTGGTTGCCATCCAGAGCGATATCAAGCGAGTAGATCTGCAGAATTCCTGTGGCATACTGAACGAGTTGGTATGCCAGGATTTCCCAAGGGCGTGCTCCGTACTCCGTACATGCCGAGAGACTGGACCTGACCAGTGAATCACGATCCCGCCCCATATCCATCGGGTTCTTGCCCTATCCCAAAGCCACAATGGGGGTTGTCTCTCCATTCCACCTCCAATTCGATTAGCACGGCTTGCAGTAGTGGCCGGGAGCTCAGCTTTCCCCAGATCTTGTTGCTTCGATGATCCACTCTCTTTCCTAGTCTCAATGGGCATAGCGTGCTCCCCGCGAAGCTTTGCTAATGTTAATATTATTTTGGGCCACTGTTGTGTGCTCAGCCAATCCGGTGTGTCATAGGCCCCATGGCTTCTTTCCGGAGAATGCGGCCAAATGTAAATATTAGTGTGGCCAAATTGTTAGACTGGCTTGTGGTTTTGTGGTGTAGTTCGTTTGTTTTCACAGCTCATTGTAATCCTTGCTTTTACTCTGCTTTCCATCACGATTTTTTATTTGCGTACCCAAAACCTAGCACTTCATTCTAGTCAGCAATTGTGCTGGCATGCACGCGATCAAGGAAAACAGACCTAAGGTGGCAACTGCCAAATGAAATCCAAGTCCAAGTCAACACCATCCAACCGAACGCCAAGCTCACCTTCGCATGGAGCAAAAGGTGCCATTGATGGATCAAATGGCAGGGAAAGCCAGTCATTCATGTCGAAGCTAGAAAGACCTTCCAAATCAAGACCAGCCACAATATCCCCTTCATCGGCCGACGGCACAGCGGGTGCATGTAAACCATCGTGAAAAGGAGGCCTCGACTGTATGACTGGTGGATTCGAAGACATGAGACTTCTTCTTAATCTCGCTGCCTGTGTCTGGAGAAGGGCTGCATATTGTGACTGCAAATGCGCGTCGTCTTGATTGTTGTTGTTCTGTAAGGCCGCAATCGCCCGATCGAGTATCTGCAAAGCTTCTTGCAATTTTGCATTACGCACGCCAAGCGCAAGAGCCTTCATCAGGAAGATGGAGGAACTGATCGTACGGAAGAGAATCCTCATCGGCGAAAAATGCAGTGCACCAGTGCTGCCGAGAAGGGCAACTTTCTCTAGTGTCTGGCAGCTACCATCGATTACCTCTTCGATGAAACCGTATTCTCGCCCTGTCATATCAAGTCGTCTTGTCCTCTCTATGAAGGAGTGGTCAATGGTGGTTTCGCTGTGTGGATTATCGTGTGTCAGAACTCGCTGTACCACGAGTTGCATTCCAATAGAGTTGACAAGAACCCGCAGGTATTGATACTCGATGAAGAGTATATCCGTAAATGTTGTCCCGGGGGCTATGATGTTTAGTCACATCATCGTCGAAGTCTGCGGTGTGCTACTTACTTGCAGTACTGAGATTTTCCTGTCGCCAATTCGCTATCAAAATCTGCTTCTCCTCCACCATGGCCATGAACTGATCGGTCGTATTGAGGATCATCGGTGCATTCACCAGGGGATATAATGCTTCCATCGTCGAACTTGACATCTTGGTAATTCCGATCCATGAATTCATGAAAGAAGTCCACTCTCTCCCCTCTCTCTGTTGCAACAACAGTCTTGATATGGGAACGGGGATACTGGCACCGGAAGGCATTGGAGAAGTACACCCAATTCTCGAAGATAGAACATTAATGTATACAAACAGTAAGCTTGGAAGTCGTTGTCGCCGTAGCTCAAGATGATCAAGATACATCTCAGCGTCGATTTCGACCAGATCATCAGATCTGAGAACTCTGGTGCTGGAATCAAAAGCGCCAAGCTCGTGAGCCAGGGCCAATGCCGAGCTGAGAACCATCCACGACATGCGCTCAAATCGCTTGGTCGGCTCAACCACATCTTCCCTCCATCTAGCAGAGACTGGAACTTCCTCATCTGTCAATGGTGGGTCCCGTGCATCTAGATGGGTCATGATAAAGTCTGAATCCCAGCCATCCGTTTCCGGAGGGAACAGCAATGACCGCGGATGCCACTCAGACATGAGAAGAAGTGCCTCGATACTCCCGATATTACGGGTTCGAGCTTTCGATTTCTTTTCTTGGCCCAGAGTGAGCCGGAGCAGAAGATGCTGGCAATGTTGCCATAGTCGGTGATGGACGAAGAATGCCCGAGAACAGCCACCAACACCCCGAAGGGTATGATATCGCGAGGATATCATGAGAATTGTGCAGCAGAGCATGGGCTCTTGAGTCACAAGGTAGAAGTGATTCTTATGGGAGGCGAAGAAGTCCGTGAGGATAGGCGATAGAGGGTTCATATTTGCGAAGAAACTATCATGTCGGTTAGTACAGGGATACTATCTTTATGCACAGAAAATACCGACAGATCAACCAGGGTCACTGCCTCATGAGCGGAAAACCATCCCATTTTCACAAATCGGCAGGCATTCCACATCTGCAGCGCGTCGGTTGTGGTGAGGCGATGGGGATCCGGAATTGGGGTAGGGGCAGTGGTGGTTTTCTCGGTATTTTGTTGCGATTCTTCGCGGAGAGCAGCCTCAAAAAGAATATCCATTGCATCTTGGTTGTTCGACACAACCTTCTGCAACATGGATGTCGGAAGATGACCATCCTTGGTTCCGGATTGGTCGTGCCTGGTCGACTGTGATCTGTTTGGTTTAGAATGGATACAAGCTGAAGGATGAATATAACAAACTCTTGGGAATGGAAATTCTCTTCACGCCGAGAATCCCTTTCTTTTCTACCTGGTCCGTCCTTCGAGGCTCGGGACCACGGTTTCTTTGAGGTGAAGGTGCATTCGATCCGCTTCTTGGTACATCGGAGGCATTTCTCGCCCTCGCTCGGTTCGCATCTCACCTTTCGTCTTGCGCATGGAACACATGCTTTATATGCCCGTTGAAATTCATAGTCATGAAGAGCCCTGCTCCGTGATGGCTTCTTCCTGTCCATGGATGGTGCGTGAAGGAGGGAGATTCTGAAGTGCGGAGAAGTGGGGAAGGCGGCTTTTTCAAATATCCGCGATTGAGACGCGTCTTTTTGTCACAGTAGACCTCGTTGGTCTGGAGACTTTCGGGTTTAAATTAATCATCTGACTAGTAAAGAAATATAGATTCGAAAATTGAATATCATGACTCGCCCTTTGAATGCGAGTTCAAGTTGTCTACCAACTGGAACTACTATACTGGTAATTTCAATCGAATCAAAATAACCGCAGTGTAATACCCGCAAGCGAATATCTGCATCAAGAATAAATTATGTCAAATCAGATCGGGTGTAGACGTAATCTAAGTTATAATACCCATCCAATTAGATTCCTGACCCATCAAGTCAAATATCTGAAGTTCTTGTTATTGTCGCCACCATCGGTCACATCAACCCGGTCGTGCTCGTTGACCTCCCCGTACTCGCGATCGCGCCTCTTATTCTCCATTGTCAAATCTATGTGCAACCCAACCGCGAGTATCGCAATCAAGCCAGTGAAAGCACAGCCCAAAGCACACCCTTGGTAAAGAGAGGTGCGTCACTATCCGGGAAGACAGAGGAACTGATCAGACTGGAGCACTGGCCAAAGACAGCCAGAAGAGCCATGCCGGCACCCTTTTTGCTTTCTCCCCCTTGGTTATTGAGCATCCAGGTAATATTAATAGCGAGTGCTGGAAATATTCCGCAAGTTGCAAGCCAAATTCCCGCATATCTTGCCCCAGTGTGGGTCTCGTCTTGCACGCAGGTCAAGATGAGATAGCCAACTGTGCCCATGGATGCGAAAAATGTAATCACCCAGCCACGATTCCCCCATCGATCTGATACGAGTGCGGCAGTAACACAACATATGAATGATCCGAGGTAAGGCGGAGCTGCCAGACCCTGTGCATTGATTGAGTTGTACCCCATTGTCTCGAGGATAGTCGGTAGGAAGTTGGAAAGACCAGCGAAGGAATAGTTGCAGCAGAAGTGAATAGTCATATGGACATAGTTTTTGTAGTCTTTCAATCCGCTAAGCACTTGCTGCCAGTGCACTTCATTTTTGGCAGTTCGATCCATTGTTTGAAGCCGTTCAACAGCCTCTGTTTGCTCGGACTCGGTGAGAAATTTGGCGGAGCCAGGGGAATCGGCAAGGAAGAAGAATACCACAACCGAGAACAAGACAGTTGGTGCACCCTCTTATTCTAGTCAGTTTTGCAACGGCTTGCAAGGATCGTGGACATACCAATAATGAAAAGGTAGCGCCATGGCTCTAGGCTGCCTTTAATCTGCGTTATGCCGTACGCAAGAGCCGAAGCGAAGCAGTTGGCGACCGGAGACATACCCAATAGCATTGATAGCCGGAATCCCAATTCTTTTCTCTGATAAAATAGAGATAGGAAGTAGGGTGCACCACAACCAAAAACGGATTCAAAAACACCTAGCAACCCTCGACAGACGAGTAGTTCAGCGAAATTGGTGACCGCCCCGCTGCACATAGCTGCAGCACCCCAACTAGATAACCCACAATGGTTAGAGAATGCCTTACCTATAATCCTTGGGACCAAGAGTGACCGAGACGTACCAGATACAAAGTACAGCGATATATGAGTGAGCGGGGAGGATTTTCCACAAGACAGTAGTCCATTCGAAAACAATGTAGCAAATGTAGAATGTATACAGTACCCATGACCATTGATAGTCATCCAGCCCAAGATCCTTGTCGATTCCAGCTGATTTTGCATTGCCAATGTTGCCTGTCCAAAGCCATGAGAGATGAAGCGGAGACAAGAGGCAAGATGACTTACCTCGATCTAAGTAAGAAAGAACATAGAGTATGCAGACTATCGGAAGTACTCGGCGGTCAAACTACTAAATCTGTGAGATTTTCTCATTTAGCTGTCTTGGGAGTATGCGTGACCTTGGTTCACCTTCTTTCGAATCAATGACTGTCTTGTCTCCGGAACGATACATTGTTGTAGATTCTTCTCCGTATCAACACTTTCAAAATGCTGACAGCCTGGAAGCTGCTCCAGATCCTTTGACTCCGTCATGGTTTCTTGCTCAACACTGTCGTATGTATGCAGTGTTCAAGCATAAAATATCAACAAAGCTGGCGTCCACAAATTAGGGCGAGAATATCGAAAGTTTGAGGGGGAAATTCTTGGAAGGATAAATACTTAAACAACAAGGAGAAGGTTTCGGACAAAGGGAGGAGTCGAATGGAACTCGACAAAACTCCGTAGAAATCAAAGTCCGGGGACCCCATGGGGTTCTGGATCCTATGTGCTCAAGGAAATGCCGAGCCCCGCTCTAGAAAACGCCGTTTAATTCCATTACGACACTTTTAATTGGATAGGACACTAGAATATAGTTATGGCTATACCTATAGCGTCTATAGTGGCGAGGAGAAGGCAGAGGGGCAACCATCCGCCGCGGATATTCACAACTATCCGCGCCTGAAACATCCGCGATATTTGATCATCATGTAGCCATAGCTACCTTGTCGGCCGATATCGCTCTCGCATGGGCATTTTAAAAGGCCGTAAAGCTGCTGCAATAGCTCCTTTCGCCATCACCCAAGCTTCTCATCTCAGTCTCCAACAATGTCTGCCAGCAACGTTCCGTACCCCTTCCAGTTCGAAAGTGCATCGACCGCCGGGCCCCAAGATGGCACGACTACCGACGTCACTATCAGTGTTAAGAACACCCGTGGAAGGATTCCATCCATTCAGGCCTCGCGACTCCGCACAATGATGATTGAGGCCCGCAACGATCCCACCAAGATCCTCGCCCACGCTTGCACATACGACGGCCTCTCTTCTCGCCTGGTCGAGGAAGCAGGCTTCCCGATGGTTTTTCTCGCAGGATATGCAGTCGCCAGCTCATATGGTCTGCCGGATACCGGGTATATTGCCATGGCCGAAATGTGCGACAAGATCCAAGAGTCTTTCCGCCAGGTCTCGGTGCCGATCATGGCGGACGGCGATACCGGGTATGGAAGCCCGATGAATGTCAAGCGAACTGTTGAGAGCTTCGCGGCTGCTGGAGCCGCGGGAGTTATGATTGAAGATCAACAGTGGCCAAAGCGTATGTGTTTCTGCCTCCCTACCCTAGGCATAAGTGCTAACTGCCTGGTATCTGCTAGGTTGCGGTCACACCAAGGGCAAGAATGTCGTCTCTCGCGAAGAGGCTTATGCTCGGATCCAAGCTGCCTGTGACGCTCGCAATGAAGGGCGAGATGTTTTTATTCTCGCCCGTACAGATGCTTTGATGCACGGCTGGGACGAAGCTATGACTCGGGCAAAAGAATTCATGCGAATCGGGGTTGATGCGATCTTCATTGAGGCCTTGCCGGATCGCGATGCGATGAAGCGTTGTGCAGATGAACTGGATATTCCTGTATTTGCCAATATCATTGAGGGAGGAAAGACGGAGAATCTTTCGGCGAAAGAGCTTGCTGAGCTGGGATATAGTGCTGTTGCGTACCCTTGGACCTTGGTTGCCGCTCATCTTAAGAGCGTACGGGAAGCCCTGGATGGATTGAAGAAGTCTATGATAACTGGGGCTCCTCCCATGATATTGTCATACGATCAGGTCTGTGAGGGTGTGGGATTCAACAAATACTGGGTGAGTTTCCACCTTTTCTGAAGAATTGCTGATGTATACTGACCCGTGAACGTTGGAATATAGGCCCAGGAGGAGAAGTATAAGTACAACACATAACTAGAGATGCGCTACTACTAGTATTAGACATTTAGGTTGGAGATAACCAAAGAATTAAATTGATAACAATTATTATATCTCATTGTCTTCAATATCCTCGGTAATGTAGTGAGGTGTTGTTCATGTTCCCCTCTTGCGCAAGCGTGGTGCTACGAGCACGCCATAACCTCATCATCCGAGAATCCGACGATTATAAATCCGATTAGATATCGACTGGCATTTATTGAAGGTATTTAAGTTTTGATGAGTCGACTCGGAAACTATACTTTCTAAATAATCACCATCAAGACTTTCAACCTCTCCCAGTTATGGCAGACCCTCAGCCCGACCGACAGCTCCATCTAACGGCCTTTATGCGGCCGGTGTCCTTGCACACTGGTGCCTGGCGCTACCCTGGCTCGTACCCCGATGCCAATTTCAACTTTAAACATATCGCCGCCTTCGCACAGAAGCTAGAAGCCGCCAAGTTCGACGCCTTTTTCATGGCGGATCATCTGGCCGTTTTGAACATGCCCGTTGAGGCCCTCAAGCGTAGCCATACAGTTACATCCTTTGAGCCATTCACTTTGCTCTCTGCTCTTTCGTCAGTGACAGAGAAGATAGGTCTTGCTGCCACCGCGAGTACGACCTATGATGAGCCGTACCATGTTGCCAGGCGATTTGCTAGCCTCGACCATTTAAGCGAAGGCCGAGCAGCCTGGAACATCGTGACAACCGGCAACCCCGAGTCGAGCCATAATTTTGGATTCGATGAGCATATGGCTCATAGCGATCGGTATAAGCGGGCGCGAGAGTTCTACGATGTGGTGACGGGGTTGTGGGATAGTTTCGCCGACGACGCTTTTATTCGGAATGTGGAGACTGGTGAATATTTCGACCCGGAGAAATTGCACATACTCAATCATGCTGGCGATGAGTTCAAAGTGCGTGGTCCGCTTAATATTGCACGCCCTCCGCAGGGATGGCCTGTGATTGTCCAAGCTGGACAGAGTGAGCCAGGTCGACAGTTGGCAGCAGAGACGGCCGAGGTCGTCTTCTGTAGTCCCAAGGACATTGAGGCTGCAAAGGCACTTTACGCAGATATAAAAGGACGAGTGGAGAAGGCTGGTCGCAAGAGAGATAGCTTGAAGCTTCTCCCGGCCGCTTTGATCATTGTTGGGGAGAATAAGCAGGATGCACAGGAGAAGAGGCTGAAGTTGGACAGCCTGGTGCATTATGACAGTGCAATCGCATCTCTATCTATTTTCCTGGGGGTGGATGTCAGCAAGCTCGATCCTGACGGACCCTTACCAGCAGATCTACCGGAGACAAATGCGAGTAAGACGGCACGAGAGTCAGTCGAAAAACTGGCCAAGACGGAGGGTTTAACCATCCGCCAACTTGCTCAACGTCAAGGAGGATACTCTGGCCTGGCCTTCCTTGGGTCTCCAAGTGAAATTGCAGATGAACTCGAAATTTGGCTGCGTGAAGAGGCCTCAGATGGATTCACCTGCGTGTTTCCTTTCTTGCCGCAAGGTCTGGACGAGGTAACAGAGAAATTGATTCCAGAGCTGCAACGCCGAGGCCTGTTCCGCAAGGACTATACTGGCTCAACACTGCGTGATCACTTTGGTCTAGCAAGGCCCGAGAATAAGTTTTTTAGCCAAGCATAATCTCTTCTTTCAGTTGATTGTGTCCGAAAGTTGAATATGACGTCCATATTATCTATATTACCGTATCTGTTCTCCCAAATATTGAAAATTTGGCATAATCTATATGACAGATGATAAAACCGAAGTATCCACAGTCCTACAGACAGACCACCAACAATCGTCGCCAAAGTAAACGGTCGACCAAAACATTCCCGATGGGATCGGTCTATTTTCAGATCGCCGGTCATCGGACCAATCACAGGCCAGCTCGACCGGCCGCATTGGCCGCCCTGGGAATGACATGGAAAGGTCTAGATAGAATTCTACTAGTATATCTTTCTTCTTGACGCGACGCATTTTTACTCTGTTCGTATACAGACAGCCATTGAGTCACCTAATCTACTATTTTCCTATGGATTTCATCTACACTACCTGAAATCCACTCGCACGCCCCTGCATCTGACCATCTCCTACGTCTTACTAGGGACATACCTACTCACGTTCCGCGCATTTCAATTCCCCCGACAGCCCAAGGTAAACCATTCATCCTCATCACAGCCGCAAGAATGGGAAGCACTGCCAGTGCCGATTCACCCTTCACCATCCGCACCCACCGCCCCGGCGACATCGGATGGATAATCCACCGACACGGACTTCTCTACCACGAAGAATACAACTGGGACGAACGATTCGAGTCACTAGTCGCCAAGATTGCTACCGAATTCATTGACAATTATGACAATGTCCGCGAGCGTTGCTGGATCGCCGAAAAAGAAGGCAAAACGCTTGGCTGCATTATGCTAGTGAAAGATCGATCATCAGACAGAAATGCGGCGAAGCTTCGCCTGTTGCTTGTTGAACCGAGTGCTCGGGGCTTGGGGGTTGGGAAAGCACTCGTGCGGCAATGTACGGATTTTGCGAGAGAGGCTGGGTATGCTCGGATTGTGTTGTGGACTCAGAGTATCTTAACCGGGGCGAGGAAGATATATGCGAATGAGGGGTATAAGCTCATAAAATCGGAGGAGAATGAAACTTGTGGGCCGAAGTTGAGGGGGGAACTTTGGGAGATGGAGCTGTAATGAGGAGGGCGGGTGGTTATGAGATGGCATATGAATAGAATTAGAGAATACCCCTGACAACACGATGCGGGTTAGCCACCAGTGAATCTCAATGCATACAGAATTTCTCAGAGGACGCGACGATCATGGTGACTTGCAATTTCCTGGGTGGAGAAATATGAGAAATCTGAACGGCAACTAATGCGGCCAGGAGCTTCGGCTCCCCGCATTCAACCCCACAGTTTGTCTCAGAATCAAGCTTGCTTGGTATCAATGATGATGTATCCTTGCTGCAGATCATAAGCTTTGGAACCCGTCAGTGCTATTGGTTGATAAACTCGAGCAGGATGTACTCTACTAGCTTTCTTCGACCTATTTTAACTTTCACTGCTAGGAGAAATAGTTAAAATGTGGCATGCAATGCTGAGGGGACAGTCTTACAAGACTCTCTAGTGATTATCCGTTCAAGCCAAGCCTCCAGACAGAATCGCGATGTTTTGAATCCAACTCAGAGTTCATTCGAGTTTAATTTGTTCTTCAACTTGGGGCGGTACTGAGAACTTGAATGATGAGCATGGGCGTGTATTCATCTACCTCAATTTTGAGATAGTTATATCAGCAGATCGCTACTTTGGACTTCCATATAAAAACACGGATTTATCAATTTAATCAAGAATTAGAAAATTTAGAGTGAGACTTCTACCATCGATAGTATGGAATACAATTGTTTGTAGAGCACCGTTTTGGGAAGCATCTTGATGTGGGGTGGGTCTTTGATCCACGATACTTTTTAAGAGATCGACATCGTGATGTACACGCGGAGAATGTTAGTGACATACTTATGTGAGCTTCTTTTCGAGAGGCCATCTGGGGTAACTATATTAAAAGTGCCTTATAGAGGAGGTCATGGTTTCTATTGTAGAATTCTGTAGTGTCGGATCCGTTGATTGAACGGAATATGCATACCCTAGGGTACTCTCATTGCGTTAAGCCAAACTGGTCGCCAAGTAACGCTAGCTCTCAGCACACAAGCTTAGGGTGAGTATATGTGCATATTGATGCGCTGATTGTAAGATCTCATCACACCACGTAATAATCCGTACTCCGTACGGAGTATGCAAGCCCCAAAATGACAAAAACCGACCTTCGTTCTTTGAGGCAATCGAAGGATCAAGCTACTGCGGGAGGTCGGCTTAGCGTCAAAACGGAGTCGTTGATCGGCGTCTCGGCGAGGTGTGATGTTCTCTGAGTCCTTCCCGTTGCAGTATATCAAAATTATCGGCCAAGAAAGGGCACCCAAGATGGGTAAATATATGGTCTGTGCTACGAATGGGAATTGCGACTATCTGGGGGAATGACGAGCAGAATTTGGGCGTCCAAGTACAGCACGCAATGGAATCGAGGGAGAGGACCCGGTGTCCACCGGGGGGCATGAATGACCGACAGCGAACTGCAAATCTTGACAAAGTAGGGAGAAGCTACTCTGTATACGGAATACTCCGTAGTAAACAAAGACTCTTTTGGCTTGGATCATATCTCGGGGTACCTTAGGGTTCCCCTGTTTGGCATAGTTGAACCTTGGGAGGGAGCTTGGGCCTGTCGTCAAAGTTTTTCATGTTGACCGCTCTCTTGAGGTTTACGAAGTATGGAGTGCGGAATACTCGGGAGTCTCCTCGTAGATCGCATTGAGTCATCGTATTCGACTGGATTCTGCAAATTTCTGCACTTCATTTCGGAAAGCGCAGGAAGGCCCCAGTGTCATGCCATGCCCTGCTATACCCTGCCATGCCGACGGTTCCATGGGTGGACCGTGGATAATGGGGCAAGCCCTAACTGCATCACATCATGGTTCGATTGATATCTATACTCCCAAAACTATTGTATAATTACCCTTACTTCGTAGAACTCCATACATCTCTGTATATCTCCAGACATGCCGAGATAATGAGATTGTGGTGGTATGCAGTTCGCTGCGCGGCCGATCATGAGTCAAATGACAGGTGGAGCGGTGCACTTTTGCGCTAGATCTCCCTATTGGCCACCATCTCTGATAGTGGTGTAGTCGATCCACTTTTTTTTTTTTGTTTTCCTGTGAGTACCTTGTCTCCAAAGATAGGATTGGAAGGGTTGGATGGGGGGGGCATACGGAGTACGGAATAGATAAAATCTATCAATATCAACCGGGACGGACGACGTGTATGGAGTACCTGTACAACATTATCTCGTCACACTTCCCCTCCCAATTCCCACTTCCATTCTCCATGATTAATGCGAGGGACCAACCTCGGCAGCTCACCGCATGTTGGCAGTGGAGATCGGCCCAAGCTAACGGCCCATGACCAGACTAGCGACTCCAACAGCACTTGGGCTCACGGCCATTGGGCGTCAATGGACCCCCTCCACGACCATTGGAGCATAGCACGAGCTGGTCACTGTGACAACCTGGTGGAGAGCTGCAATCATATGCGCCTGGTGTTGTACAGTCGAGTTGGGCATCTGAGTTTTTTTTTTAATTTTTTTTTTATGCGTGCGCTGCCTCTTTGTCCCAGCTCTCTCCTCTTGATTTCCCTCAACTCATCTTTAATCACAAATCTTCCTACCATAATACCCTCTCCCACCGCTCTGTGAGCCCTGTACAGTTGGTCCTGCGTTAGTGTATTTTGCTGGTCAAATTGCAAATCTTGCTCTTTTCCCTCCCCGCTTTCACGAACGTTACGAACTTGAGAACAATATGGCGACCGCTGCCATTCAGAACGGTAAGAACCATCTCTGGCATTCATATGCCTCAAATATTGCCTAGGATTTTACTGACTCACTTACTCTTTCTCAGTCTCCGACGAGACCCTCCCCAAAGACCCCGTCGTGGTCGAGCCAATCCAGTCTACACCCACGCCAATCGTCGTCGACAAAAAGGCCGCCACAAATGGCGACGATGAAGCTCTGGAGGACGGCAAGGACTCCGAGGAGGCCACTATGACTGCCACTCAAAGAAAAAAGGCCAAGAAGAATGCCAAAAAGAAGGAGAAGAAGAAGCAACAAAGCGTCTCCGGCATTCCCAATGAAGAGAAGCCCGAGCAACCCACCGAGTCAGACGCTACTCCTGCTGAGTCCCCGGTGGCCACAGAAACACCCGCTTCAGATATCGTTGAAGGATCTCATCCTGAGCAGACTACCACAGAGTCAGAATCGGTGAAGGAGGAATCCACACCGGCCGAAGCTCCCCAAGAGGCTGCCGAAGCTCCCTCAGAAGAGATCGTGAAAACAGAGTCCGCAGAGCCAACTGTGCAAGAACCCGAGACTGCCGAATCCACCACAGAAGAATCGAAGCCGGTTGAGCCGGCTTCGGAGCCTGTGAAGGAGGAAGCCGCCGCGCCTGCCGTTGAGACCGAATCTGCCGCCGAAGCCGCTGTCGAGCCCACTCAAACATCCCAGCCCAAATCGACCCCGGAAGTTGCCCAAGAGGCTGTCGCCGTCGAAGAGCCTGTGAAGGAGGAGACTCCTGAAACCGTGGAGGCCCCCAAGGATGTTGTTGAGGAGAAGACCGAGGCTGAGGTGAAGGATACTCCCGTCGAAGCTACCTCTGCACCTGTGGAGGAATCGACCCCCGCCCCTGCTGATGAGAAGGCCAAGGAGGTTGAGGTCGAAGAGCCTGCTCAGGTCGAGGCTGAGAAGGAGACACCTGTTGAAGCCGCCACTGAGGTTGTCACCGAGGAGACTCCTGCTCAAGAGGTTGTTGAGGAGGCCGCTGAGCCTGTCGCTACCGAAGAGCCTGTCGTCGAACAACCAATCGAAGAGTCCAAGGTTGAAGAGCCCGTTCTAGTTGAGACTGAGAAGGAGACTCCCGCCGAAACCGCCGATAAGCCCGCCGAGACTACTGCCGCCGCTACCGCTACCGAAGAAGCTCCTGTTGAACAGTCTGTTGAGGAATCTAAGACCGAGGAGCCTACTGAGACCTCTGCTACTGAAACCGCCATCGAACAACCAGTCGAGGAACCTAAGACCGAAGAGCCTGCCCGGACTGAGGCCGAGAAGGAAATCCCTGCCGAAGCCACCCCTGAGGTGATTACCGAGGAGCCTACGACCGAAGCTGCGACTGAAACTACCACTGAGCCTATTACCGACGGTAAGACTCCCGTTGAAGAAGCTAAGGTCGAAGAGCCCGTCGTCGAAGAGCCCGCCAAGGAGGCTTCGGTTGAAGAGCCTGTCCTCGAAGAGCCCAAGGTTGAGGAGCCTGTTCAGGAGACCACCACTGCCCCCAAGATTGAATCGACCAATGCCGATGTCGAGACCGCAGAGGCTACTAAGGAGGTGACTCCCGAGCATCCTGCTGAGACCAAGGCCGAGGAGACCCCGGTTGAAGAGATCAAGACTCAGGATGCTCCTGCTGCCATCGAAGAGCCTATTGTCGAGAAGGCCGTTGAGGAGCCCGTCACCGAGGCCCCAGTGGAAGAAGCACCGGTTGAGGAAGCCAAGGAGGTTGCTTCTGAGGCTCCTGTTGAACCCATTAACGAGACTCCTGCTGAGACCCAGCAAGAGGCCGTTGAGGAGCAAGAGATTGCCGAGCCTGTTGCCGCTGCGGAGCCTGTCGTTGAAGCTCCCACTGTAAAGGCCACCACGACTGAAGAAGAGCCAGTTTCTGAGAAGGCCATTGAGGAGCCAACCGCCGAGGCTCCAGTAGAGGAAACCCTTGCTGAAGAAACCAAGGAGGTTACCGCTGAGGCCCCTGTTGAGGCCAAGGAAGAGACTATCGAGGAGCCTGTGGCCGAGAAGGAGGAAGCCCCTATCTCTGTTGAGGCTGTCACTGCCGATGCCCCGGCTACCGAGCAGCAAAAGGTTGCTGAGCCCGTCGTCGAAGCTCCTGTTACTGAGGAAGCTCCCATCACCGAGGCTACATCCGCTGTTGAGGAGACCCCCGTTGCCGTCGATACTTCTGTTGTCGAAGCCCCTATCGCCGAGGAAGCTCCCATCACCGAAGCTACACCCGCTGTTGAGGAGACACCCGTTGCTATCGAGGCTCCGGTTGTCGAGGCTCCTGTTGCTGAGGAAGCTCCCGTTGTCGAAGCTCCCGTTGCTGAGGAAGCTCCTGTCGCCAAGGAAGCTCCTATCGCTGAGGAGACTCCTGTTGTCGAGGCTCCCGTTGCTGAGGAAGCTCCCGTTGTCGAGGCTCCTGTTGTCGAGGCTCCTGTTGTCGAGGCTCCTGTTGTCGAGGCTCCCGTTGTCGAGGCTCCTGTTGTCGAGGCTCCGGTTGTCGAAGCTCCCGTTGCTGAGGAAGCTCCTGTCGCCAAGGAAGCTCCTATCGCTGAGGAGACTCCTGTTGTCGAGGCTCCCGTTGCTGAGGAAGCTCCCGTTGTCGAAGCTCCCGTTGCTGAGGAGGTTCCCGCTGTCGAGGCTCCCGTTGCTGAGGAAGCTCCCGTTGTCGAGGCTCCGGTTGTCGAGACTCCTGTTGTCGAGGCTCCCGTTGCTGAGGAGGTTCCCGCTGTCGAGGCTCCCGTTGCTGAGGAAGCTCCCGTTGCTGAGGAAGCTCCCGTTGTCGAGGCTCCGGTTGTCGAGACTCCTGTTGTCGAGGCTCCCGTTGTCGAGGCTCCCGTTGTCGAGGCTCCCGTTGTCGAGGCTCCTGTTGTCGAGGCTCCTGTTGCTGAGGAAGCTCCCGTTGTCGAAGCTCCCGTTGCTGAGGAGGCTCCCGCTGTCGAGGCTCCCGTTGCCGAGGAAGCTCCTGTCGCCAAGGAAGCTCCTATCGCTGAGGAGACTCCTGTTGTCGACGAGGCTGCTGCTACAGAGGAGCATATTGTGGAACCTGTTGTCGAGGCAGCTCCTATCACTGAAGCTGCACCCGCCGTGGAGGAAACCCCAATTGTTGAAGAGCCTACTATCGAAGAGCCTGTTGCTGAGACTATTCCTGCCGTCGAAGAGACCGTTGCCGCGGAGGAGCTGGTTGCCGAAGCCGCCAAGGAAGAACCTATTGTTGCGGCTGCGGCTGCCGAGGAGACTTCTGATATCGACGATCCTTTTACCTCTGAAAAGGATATCGCTGAGCCTGCTTCTGAGCCTGCTGTTGAAAAGCCAGTCCAGGAGGAAGAGCCTGTTATCGAGGCTTCTAAGGAGGTTGTTGAGGAATCCCCCGCAGCCGAGGTTTCCACCCCTGCTGAGAAAAAGATCGAGGAGCCTGCCAAGGCTCTTGACGAGACCTCTCTCGCCAAGGAGGAGCCCCAGGTCGAGACTAAGGCTGAAGAGACTCCCGCTGAGGCCCACGTGGAGGAGACTCCTGCTGTCGAAGAGACTCCTGTTGTCGAAGAGACTCCCGTTGTCGAAGAGACTCCCGTTGTCGAAGAGACTCCCGTTGTTGAAGAGACTCCCGTTGTTGAAGAGACTCCCGTTGTTGAAGAGACTCCCGTTGTTGAAGAGACCCCTGCTGTTGAAGAGACTCCTGCTGTCGAAGAGACTCCTGCTGTTGAAGAGACTCCTGCTGTTGAAGAGACTCCCGTTGTCGAAGAGACTCCCGTTGTTGAAGAGACCCCTGCTGTCGAAGAGACTCCTGTTGTCGAAGAGACTGTAGAGACCCCCGACGAGACCAAGGACAGCACGGTCACCCCCGAGATTTTGGCAGCCGGAGCTGCGGCGGCGGCGGCCGGTGTTGCTGCCGTTGGTGTCGCCTCGACTCTGCATAAATCCGACGCTACTCCCACCGAGGCTGAGCACCAGGATTCGGCCGATAAGAATGAGCCCGTCGACAACAAGACCGATACCAGTAAGCTGTCGCCGTTCAATTTTGCGCAAAATGCGTCCGTACCATCCTTCGATGCTGATCCGGCTCTCGCAGCCCTTGCTGGTGACCGTGAAGCCCTTCTCCACAAGCTTCAACAGCCATCCACCGACCAGCTGACCGCCACCATCGCCGAGCAATCGTCCAACGACAAGAAGGCCACCGTCGAGACCGAAGCGGAGCCCACTGAGCCGAGCAAGCTGACCCCCGAGTCTGCAGCCAACAATGCGAATGAGGAAGAGGCTCGTCCAGTGAGCCAGAACCGGTCAGTGACAGCTGTTTCTCTGAATGGAGGAGGTGACAACTGGCTCAAGGCGTTCCTGCGCACGGTGTTTGTTGGCTTCTTCGGCACAATCTTTTCGCCTTTCCGCCGTCGTGGAAAGGACCACAAGTAAAGATTTGTGTCGAAGTTCTCATCCCATTCATCTTTCCTTTGATGCTGCAAATAAGTCACAGATTGATCGGGTCTACTAGAGATCAGAGATGGAATATGTCTACCGTCTGAATTGCAGATACTGACATTGATTGATCTCAGGACCCCAAATGCCTTGTTTTGGTTTACTATTGCTGTGACTCCCATTGTGGCGATACTTTGGCGCTATATGCCCTAAGTGTCTTTGGATTCAATTCTCCTGTTCGAGGGAGATGAATTGGGCGAGTGAAAAGTTGTCAAGGTTGTTTTTCTCTCCGCTTTCGATTCCCCTGTATTGATTACGATTTTCCTTTTATCTGTTCTCGTTGTTTTCTGCTGTTTTTGTCTTGTTTTTCTGCTGCTTTTGTGTGATGAATTTCTTTTGTCTCTCCTCCTTAACATGCTTGGCCTATCTCAAGGACGATGAAAGTCGAGATGGGAGCTGGTATTTGCTTGGGTGGATCTAATGAGGCCTTTTTATGAACTTAATGAATGGATATGAATCAGTTTAAAGTATACTTGACATGTTTACGTATTTATGTAGTTTGCTCAGCTCAGGCACTCTTCACTCGTGTTTGCTGCTGCTACTTGTTCTATACTGCCTTTAGCACTTCCCACCATTCACTGCGTGGCTTCCTTCCACCTCCACCTCCACACCTCCTCGCCCTCTGCTCATCTTCTTCGCTTCATTTCCGCTTTTCTCATCTCATACTCTCGAGCTTTTCCATTTCTTCCATACTGTGCCCCTTTGACCATTGAACCAGACCCCAAATGTGTGCTTTAATCGTCGTGGTGCCTGACAGCAGGCCTTCCATGCAAGGTCCACGCCAGGACCATAGCCCTTTATCCAGCTTTTCCTCCACTGAACCCACCTCTCCAGCTCTTAACCCCCCCTGCAAATTATCTGTCTGCTCCGAATATCGACCCCAGCAAAGGAAGGGCGGATGCCCCCATGAAAGGAAATGCGTTCGCACTCATGAAGGCGGCGCGAGACCTCCAGAAAAGCGAGCTTCCTTGCAGAAGCACTGGTAAGATCGCAGCCCAGTTTCTATTGAGCCCAAGTTACTGATTTGAGTTCTCGAAAAAGGTTCCACGAGTATGTCAGCAACCCCCGGCGATGATGGTCGTCCAAGTATGACCTGGAAGGTATCTGGCCTCGATTACGAAGAGGATCTCGCCCTGCCAATGCCAAAGCCACATCGTTCTCGGGGGGAATTCGCCCAAGGCAGAGGTCGTTCTCGCGGATTACCAGACGCCTCTGGAAAATCCGCCGTCTCTGAATGATTTCCCATCGCGTGACGTTTCTCCTTCGTACGAGTCATTCACGTCTACCACCCCCGAGAGCAAGAAAAGATCCAAATTCCAAATCCTCAAGTCTAAGATGAGCTTCAAGGATCTGAAAAAGGAACTTCCAAACGATGAGATATCCGATCCGATTCTTGTCCCGCCATTAAACGAGAACACCCAGCCTTGCCTTTGTCGCCCTCTCAACAGTGCTACCACCATGCCGCCAATCGCGTCTACTGCATCCTCAACGAAGGCCAGACCGACACTTAACCAGATAGCCCCCACTCGGAAAGTGAGTGTTTCTACCAAATCTACTTCTTCCGCCAATCCAAGCGCCAATCCAGGCCGGATCCCTCTGCCACCTTCATACACATATTCTTATGCACAGGGAGGCGTCCTGGCAAAGGCAAACTGTAGCCAGCGCCGAATTTCAGGCCAGAGACCTCTGAGCTACTCCTCAACTACAAGCAAGGAAGAAAATACAATCATGAATGCTAGCCTTCGAGCTGCAAGCCTGGATACCCATAAGAGTCACAAAGCTGATCCTTCTGTCGCACATCCAAGCCCTGAAGGCCCCATGGACTCCTCGAGCATACTCCCACATCTTGACCGGCCAAAATACCCAGTCACCGGAGAATCACACCCTCATCCCGATGATCTCCTGGAGGGAAACGGCAAAGTAAAATACATTCCGAAGACATGGTTGAATGGGCCTTGCCCGCTAACTCCTTCGCCACTCAATGGAAAAGACTCGGTCGACCCTACCAGCACAGTGAAACACTACCGAAGCAGTTCTATTCCTTCTCGCGTCCCGACACTCAAAGAGCGGTTCGAGAAAGGAGGGCTCTCAGAGGGGACCACCAATGGCCTAAGTCGTTCTATGGGACTGCAGGTTGATGAAATTGTCGAGATGGTCCGGTTAATCCAACGCCACGCAGATACTGGGATTGAGAGTATGACCAAAAAGCTGGAGGCACTTTCTACCTGGATCACTAATCAGCTCAACCATCATATCCAGACTATCACAGATCTGTCTCTGGCTAACTCAGATCTTTTCAATAAGCAGAGCCAACTCTCACGAGAGATGATGGGTTTACAGCTAGCCCTACGTCTTGAAATTGGCGGCATGGAGCGACACCTCAACGGCTTCGAGATGCAGCTAGTGGACGAGTTACAAGCTGAGTTCCGGGCGCTAGCGAAGTCGTACGAGGAACTGGACATCAAAACGGATGCTTTGCTTCAGGACTCTTCGAAAGATGACGCGAAACACTTCATAGAAGTCCAGCGCTTGAAAAATACTGAGATCGAAGCTGAGATTGCGTATCTCAAAGGTCATGCTCCGCATGATCCTGCATTGCTTCCCCCTCCCACTCTCCCTGTCATGCCAGTTATGACCATCTCGAGCACGCGCAGTATCGAGCCTCTGATCAGAAGGATTGAATCCACAGTCAAAATTGCCGAAAAGGATGCCAGGCTTAAGGACATCGCCACGAATGTAGGTGTTCTTGCAATCGCGGCCACGCATCCCCCTATGCTTCCACCCCCCTCGAGCTCCAATGAAAGCATCAACTTCTGGTGTCAAGAGACTGTCTCCGACAAATGTAGATGCGGGGGAGGCGAGGAACAGAAAACTTAGTGTGAGTGAAGACAAGCCTGCGGGTGACTTGCTACGCAGCACCTCCTTAACGAAGAAAGGATTTTTGAAGAATATCATCACCAGCTCTCCTGATCAGAAAGAAAGTGCACGTCAGAAGACGGGACATGGCATTGGTGAAGAACCCAAGAAATGGAGCATCTTCGGGTTCCGTCGCCGCCATGCTACTCCCAGCGGAAATACCCTCAACATTGTGATCAAAACACGCTCTCTGCCCCCCCCTCAATTCCCAGTGAAGAGCAAGCAAGATTGAACGACCAAAAGGAGAAAAGTAGCACTGGGTCGTCAACACCACCCCTCCCTTCTGTCCCAGTCCAATTTGCCCACGAAACTCCGAAGAAAGACAATATTTCCTGGAAACCTCTCCATCCAGCCTTGCGATCCGCTGAGCCTAGAAGATCAAGTTCACTCAAGAGGCCCAAAGCTGCACGACCACGACCACCGCCCGTCGATCTTTCATCACCTCTCCATCGTGGGCGAGGCCTACCGACTTCGTCTCCTCCAGCTAAACTGTACCCGACGGCCTCTTCTTCAGCTGGCGTCAGTACTCTTTCAACTACACACCATCAATCGCCGGAATATCCCTACTCTACTTTCAATGGTGGGCAAAGCTCATCAAGCTTGCCTCCCTTGGCTCAAGTGTGCCCACTCACGCCTACCACCTCTTCATCCGCGGACGGTGACCCTCTTCCAAGCTCGGACGCGGAACCAGCTTTGGTTTCTGTGTCTCAGACGGAGACTAAGACGAGAGAGAGCGATGATGATGTAGAGGAGCAGCCATTGCTTGCTGGTGATGACACTGGGACTGAATGGAGCTATGTTTCTAAGACGGAGACTCGAGGTCATGAAACGATGATTTGATTCTACACATACGCCCAGCCCGGCTCTTCTCTCACTGGACTGGGTTTCATGGGTAACAAAGAGTTACCAGGAGAGTGATGTTCGAAAATGGTTTGATATGATGCGGTTTGATAGGTGTTGATACATGTCATCTTCTGCAATAGTTATGGGTTTAGCTTGAAATATTGAAATGCCTCCAGGGCTTGCCTCTGGATCTACGAATGCCAAGAAAAGGATACACGTACCCTACCTTAAGGTAGAGCACAAGAGGTGGGAAGATAACGACAATGATCTAAATGACCAACAAATTTTTATGAGCTGTGCACTAGGCGTGAATATTCAATATTCTTAGTATTCTCATGTCAAAGCATCCAACGCTTTTCCAGTAAAAAAAAATAGTAACCACAAAATGCAATATGCCCCAGGATATTATTCACAAAGACGAAGATACAAGAAATGAACATTTTACTTCGACGCGCCGAGCATCTTCTCGATATCGATAGCCGCCTCTCGGACTTGCGGGCAGTAATGTTGGCGCAGCAATTCGCCCTCCCATACAGAACCGGCATATACATTCGTAGCCTCGACATCAGTTGCGTAGGGATTAAAAACACCATCGCCCTTGCGCTCATCGGAATGCCACAGCGAGGAAATCCGACGGGCGTTGTGCTTCGCGACCTGGTTCATCAGGGCCAAGGTGGCGATGGCGGATTTCTCGGGGAGTTGAAGCGCAGTAGTCATGAGACGTTTGGAGAAGGTGGCAAGTCTGACTGGAGGGGGCATGCCGTGGGCACGGGAGATCAAGGTGAAATGAAGGCAGCGGAGGAGTAGGACCATTGGAGTCTGGAAGTTAACCTTATTCCTTGAGCGGGCTTGAGTGAGTTGATTCTCATCGTCGGCATTATTGGGGTCGGCCAGGCGCAGCGAGGTGTTGGGATTGAACTCGACTTCGGAGTTTGTGGAGAGGGAGTAGAGGGAACGGTAGAGGTGTTGGACGAAGAAGCCAAGGTCCAGGTGAAGGGTTGAAGCGGCCTTGCTGGCGTCTTGGCCTTCCAGTAGGGCAAATGCGGTGATTGTGCATAGCAAGGCTTCACGGCGGGTATCGCGGGGTCGGGCGCCCTGGGCTTCGGTTTCGGTGTCTTCTTCGGCCTCCTCATTTTCATCTCCTTCTTCGGCCTTTTCGTCGCGCTCGGCATGGGCGATGAGGTCCTTCATTGCCTCCAACAGGTCTCCGAAGAAGTCCTGGTTAATAAGGTGGGCGTACTTGGCCAGACCCTCAAGGACAGGGCCCATGAGCTTGGGAATTCGTTGCTTCAGAATACGGAAGTAGACGCCAAAGACGAGCTTGAGGGTCTCTGCCTGGTTCTTGTCTCTGTCTTCGTGGGAGACAAGTGCGTCGGCTTGCTTCATATCCTTCTCCACAATCTTTTGCTCCTTCATCGTCTTGCGCAGCTTCTTAGTACGGAACTCCCGCACTTGCTTTTTCTTGCCAATGGGCTTTTCTTCCTCTCGTCTGTCTACACGATCACGCGAGGCCTTTTGTGAAAATTCTCCTAGCAAACGTAGGCTGAGGAAGGCATCCAAAACGGTCTCGTTGATCTCGAAGTCTCTAGCCTTCATCATCTTTGACAGTAACTTGACAGCTTCCAATGAGACTAGGCCGTCCTCGTCTTTTCTGAAAATACTCTCCAAGCTTTCGCGGCACTTGACAAAGTCTGCATCGATCTGTTTCCTAGCAAGTTTGTTCACAAGAATCTTGAGCAAGTCGGTACGGAAGTTGAAGTGGGGTACCGATTCGAGCATGGTGCAGGTGCAGTTGATGGCGAGGCTCTTCAGACTCGGATCGACGCGAACATTCTTGCCCGGCTTGGTCAGGGCACCGAGGGTTTGCACGTAATTCCGGTATCCATTTACCAGAGCCTGCTCGAAATCTCGGAGCTTGCGCACTTCCTTGGAAACCTTGCCGCCCATTTCCTCCTCACTGATGGGACGAATTCGATAACCGGGAATCACATCCTTGTAGATAGCAGCCTGCGATGCGAGGGCCAACTTCTTGACCGTGATTGGCGCATCGGGTCTCGCAGCCATGTCGGCCATGGTCTTGAACAGAGCTGTGTGTTCTTCAGGATCCTCGTTGATCAGGGTGGCCATGCGGGCGAGTTCTTCCTTGGCCTGCATGATTTGGACCTTGATCGGGATCTTGGGCTTCTTTTCTTCGACCTCCTCCTCACTCTCAGAAATATCATCGCCCTCATCGTCGGTTCCTAAGAAGCTGTCGGTTTCTTCGGCGGCATCGGCGTCGGCTTCGGCGTCGGAATCGGCAGTCTTGTTTTCTAACTCGCGAACAAAACCCTCGGAGGTCTTAATGGGCAATCGAGTGTTCTCATTCTTTTTCTTCTCCGACTTGCGCGGGCGACGTTCGTAGTCCTGCTCGACATCCCATTCGTCCTCGGAATCGCCGTGGGTGTTGGCCTTGGATTTTGAAGACTTGCCTCCGTCAACAGGAGGGCTCAACCGCCTCCTTTTCACAGTCGGACCGCGCGCCATTATGTCGTTTGAATGCAATTGCGAACGTTGTGACAACGAAGGGTCTGGGAGATTGTTTGGTGGGCGGTGGCTATTTTTTCGACTTTTCTGCCCACCCCATGCCCTCACCGCCCACCTATCGGGGTAGGTTCCTGATATTTTTTTATCGGCATCAACGTTGGTCCTGGAGACCATTTCGCACTCATCAATCTTCCACCGGTGCTGTCGACAGCCCTACCCGTCAAAATGCGTGCCCTCGATGAGACCGAAACCCGCACAATGTTCACGAAGCTTGCTTCCTACACCGGAGCATCTTTGTCCAACCTGATTGCGCCGCCTGCTGAAGGTACCGCTGTCACCGAGAGAATGGTCTTCCGACTTGTCAAGGACCGAGTGTTCTATCTGCCCGAGCGCATTGCCAACTTCGCCACTTCTATTCCCCGTGATTCCCTCCTCACTGCCGGCACAATGATCGGAAAGTTCACAAAGACTGGAAAGTTCCGTCTGAACATGAGCAGCTTGAGCATCATTGCGCCTCACGCTCGTGTAAAGTGCTGGGTTAAGTCTAACGGAGAGTGAGCAAACCCATCGTTCAATGCGATTGAAGTGAAATGAGACTTATCATTGTGAATAGAATGCCTATCCTCTACGGATCAAATGTCTTGAAGGCCCATGTCGCCAGATGGTCAGAGGATGCCCCCGAGCACTCTGGATGCGTTATCTTCAACCAGAATGATACCCCTCTTGTGAGTTGTCTATTATATGGATGATACCAGAAGCATGAACTAATCTTTCTCTTCCTCATTAGGGCTTCGGTGTGACCGCGAGATCGACTGCTGTACGAACCAACCAATTTTACGATTGTCGTGACATTGCTAACTAGTTCTTAGGAGATGCGCAAGCTGGAACCTACCGCTGTCGTCGTTTTCGCTCAGGTAAGCCCCGTATCCTTTGCTGTTTCAACTAGCTCCATCGCTAACCCGACCTAGGCCGACGTCGGAATGTACCTGCGCGACGAAGATACCATGTTCACCACCTAAGCAGGATCTTAACAGGCTTGAATCTTGCATGTTCGCATACTTGATCAGGATAGGAGTTTTGGAGTCAATTACTATCATGTAAAAAGTGCTATTGTCTCTTCGGGGATCTACTATACATCACGATATTTTTCAACGAACAATTTTCAAATCAATTCTGCCTAATATAGAAAGTTTAAACATCGATCTGGATAGGGAATATCTGAGCATTGCCACTCAAATTCCGAGCTCTCCCTTCAACAAATTCTTTTGTAACTACCGGCAAACTAGAAGTTACCAGTAGTAGTAACTAGCCGTAGCTGGTCCCACCAAAAGATGGTGATGTGAGTTTATGCCTGAGGCACCAGCTGAGTCATTCTGCCCGCATCGCGATGCACCAAGACCAATGCTCGCATCAGAGAATTGGAGAATAAATTCCGACCTAGGACTCCGGCTGTGAACGATTTTGTTCCTGTGACGTCCGCATTTATACCCGGCCTCACAGCTTCTCATCTCGACACGTTCTCTCCACAGTAACCACTCATCGTCGACTGCGGGTGCAAATATCAGAACCCCGCCATGCCGCCCTACTCTACATCCCAGAAGCAGGCCATCGCCCAGTTTGTCAATCTTACAAATAGCAAGGACTCTGTTGCCTCGAAGGTCAGTATTGACTAGTCTGAAGCCCCGTTTTGCTCCCGGACATGCGTTGTCTGATCGTTTGACCCGGCCGATGTCGATACCTCTTGAACCCACCACTGACTATCATTCTAGTCGTTGAGGGCAACAGGATGGAACGTCGAGCGCGCCGTTGATGCGTAAGTCTCACTCTGACCTATCGAACCCGAATTCGAGCCAATCCCTTACATCTATACATGGTGTCCACGGCTACCTGCCTGCTTGCCTACATCGCCTTGAGCGAGCTATGCTCCAGCAGGCCATCAATCCAGCCGAAAACCTACATAAAAACCATCAATCGGACAAAAGTAGACTAAAATTTCCATTCCTAACGAACAGATTCTTTGCCGGCACCGCCGGCCCCTCGAAAAGCACAAAGTTCCTCAACGAAGTCTTCGATTCATACCGAGGTAAGTCTACCTCCAACCAATAATCAAACTTCACCCTGTTAATTCTCGTTCCGTCCAGATGACGCAGAAGAAACACCCGACGGCATCGGAATCGACGGCGCTATGAAATTCCTCGGAGACATCGAAGTCCAACTAGACGAAGTTGCCTGTCTAGCCATCTTCGAAATGTGCAAGTGCCCATCGATGGGCGAATTCACGCGCGAAGGCTTCGTGGATGGGTGGAAAATGACACAGTAAGTTCATTTCAGCTCAGCTCAGTTCAGTTCATCTCCGCACCTCTTCATTGCGCCCCCTTTTACCATTACGACTCCTAACTCATTCCCAGCTGCGACACCAAACCCAAAATGACCCAACATGTCCAATATCTCCGCAGCAATATCCCCAAGGACCCCGAGCTTTTCCGACGGGTATATCGCTTCACGTTCCCGCTGTCCCGGATGCAAGGGCAGCGCAATTTGCAATTTGAAATCGCGGCCGAACAGTGGAAACTTCTCTTCACCGCGGATCGGGGCGGTGTGCCCTGGAACACGGCCACGACGGCGTGGCTGGATTTGTGGATCGAGTTCCTTGAGGGACGGGGGAAGAGGCCCGTTAACAAGGATCTGTGGGAGCAGGCGGAGGTGTTTATGCGGAAGAGTCTTGAAGATGAAGATTTTGGGTGGTGGAGTGCGGATGGGGCGTGGCCCGGGGCGTTGGATGACTTTGTTGGGTATGTTAAGGGGAAGAGGGGGCAGGGGAGTGAGATGGAGGTTGAATAAGGTGGATTGGGTTCGATTGGTGGACTTCTGGCAAAGGTTGTTCAGGCCTATAAAAGGGCTGAGTCCTAGATGTCTGTCATTTAGATGGTCTAGGTCTTTGAACTACTAGTAACTAGTAGTTGATTGGCCCCATGTTATGTAGTATGTTCCATTGGTCGCGAGGACGATGAATGGATAATTGAAGCTTGCTCTCAATGCCTAAAGGAAACAAGAAGCTGTATTTTCTTCCGGGCCTATCTAAAAGACGAGAGAATGCCACGACCACAGTATTGGACCGATGAAGGTTGAATTAAAATCCAGCATATGTACCTAAGCCTAAATCTCCGAATGGAGAGTAAGGTGCAAGGAAGTGTTTGGGGAACGGAAAATGGGCATTCGTCGTAAAATTGAGAGGGAAAAAATAACATCAGGAAGAAAGGTATCTGACGCATACCAAGATGCAGGGGATGTGTACATGAGTCAAAACACCGTGAACAAACATGAAATACAAAAGAAAGGGTAATAGATGGCTGCAGATCGGGAGAAGCGTGGAGGCGTTGAGGTTGAGGTATGCATAGAACGTTTCAACCATATACTAGGATATCTGCGGCTCCTTCTCTGCAGTTGCGACGGGCTCTCTTCAAGGGTAGTTGTCACGCTTCTCGTATCCATCATCGCGGCGGTCGTTGTAGCGCTGCATATCGTGTTAGCGGTGTTTGATACTCGATTCTGATTTTATGTTCGGGAATGAACGTACCTTGCGGAGAGCTTCGAGACGCTTCTTCTTGGTGTGGGTGTTGACATAGGTTCCAATGAAGAAACCGATGATGTTGAAGAAGGGCACCCAGGTGTGCTCGGGGAGGAACTTCTGGGCAAAGGCCAGGGCCAGAGGGGAGGTGACCCAGCTGACCTTCATGACGGGCAGGAAGCCAGCGCGGACGGTAGCGCGAACCTGGTGGAAGGTGCGCGCGCCAGCAATGATCGCCATCGAGGTCAAGTAGACGGAGTTCTGGATGGGGGAGATCTAGAGGAGCGCATAAGTTAGCATGGATGGCGTGCGATTGCGCGAACGCGGGAATCCTTGGGAATCAGATTGGGTTGGGCGCGATATAAACATACGATCAAGTTGCTAACGAGGATCTGGAGGATCTTGGCCTTCAGGCTGGTGCGGCCGGCGAAGATCTTCTGGAGAATGCCGATGAGGACGTGGCCCAGCGGGGCGGCAATGAACATGCCGTAGAGGGACATCTTGGGGATGCGCGAGCTGAAGTAGTGGCCATGCTTGCCAACATCATGAGCGAGCCACGAGGCGAGCAGCTCTTGCACACCAGAAAGCACACCGGAGGTGAGCATCTTGGTGCGCAGCGGGTTGTGCTGCAACTGCTTGAGGTAGGCCTAACGATCCACATTCTTCGGATCAGCTGGGGTATTCCATCGGTCGGAGATTATTGTAGAGGAATCAAACATACCTGGAGATAGCCAGTCTGGGTCTTTCCACCAGTCAATCGCTCACCGACGCGGTGAGCGAGGTCCTCGGGCTTGCCGGCATTCGCGACCGCGCGAATGGTCTCCTCCTTGAATTTGACAGACATGGTGGGCTAAACGGTGGGGATAAGATGATGTGAGAGAATCCAAACGCGCCTAGAAATGACAAAATGTCTCCTGGTCAACAATTGCAACAAAAGAAAACAACGTGGATCGATCGCGGAATTATCGGGAGTGGATGGAGGTGGAGGGAGTTAGGGGGGGGCCGGTGCGTTGTTTGTTTATGAGAAGGTTGGGGCCCGAGGGGGGGGGGAACTAGGCTGACTGGGGAGGCTGGGAAGGGAAAGCTGGAACAATTCGATGGGGACAATAGCCGAGGCTGAGGGAAACAGGACAGGGGGATAATACCTTTGGACAATCCGGGGATACAAGAAAGGTTAAGGAAGTTGGGGTAGAGCCGAGTATAAGAGGGAGCGGTGGACGAGTCGGCAGATGAGTTGGGCTTGAGTGGTACTAGTACTGTAGTAGTGGTACTGGAGGAGAAGGCAAGCATCCCCGGCGAGGTCCAACTGCGGTCGGAGAATTCCGACGTACCCAAAGCTAAAGGATCTCGCCGTTGGCCATCCCGTATTTATTTTAATTTGGTGCAGGCTTAGCCGAGTGCATAAAATTATATAGTACGGAGTACGAAGAACAAAGCATAGGATACTTTGATATACTTAAATAAAGTTACCTAGATCGTCTAGATCTAGTACTTCAATTTTAGTACAGCGATGGCCATCTCCGTGCCCTGCCCAATCCAAGTGGAACCTCGGTATACCGATGAAAAATCCGCTTTCATTTGGGAGTGCCCCATAGGTGGATCCGTGGTATCAACCCCGTACTATGGAGTGGTCCCCATACTCTGCTTTGCACTACGGAAGAACAGTATACTGATGATTTTATCCTTTCAGTATTAACATGCTCGCAGAGTACCTATTCACCTGCTTGTGCTTCTGTATCTGCAGCTGTTTCACTCTTATGCAGACACAATACTCCCTGCACTAACTACAGCACAAGCAAGCTAACTTTTAGTCTTTAAGCTGACCTGGACTCCTTAAGTTTTTCACCTACCTCAAAAATCTCTGTGCAAACAGCACTTACAGAGCACAGCCTAGCCCGTTAATGTGATCGGCATCCCGAATACCTTGCAACGGGCCGTTCCTATATACCCGAATCAACCCTAATCAAAGCAATCATCTATGGCTCCTATTTAACCTATACCCTCTCCACAGCCAGACACTCTTGGTTGAGTGAACACCAAAGATCTCTTGGGCAAGTCATGCAGCATGATTGTGCCCGCTCAGTGAGACTGATCAGAATCATGATACACGAACAAACACATACAAAATACGTCCTTGTTCCCAATGTTACGATGGGCCCTGCGCGTGATTGGCCGCTCAGCGCCGGCGAGGTAATCGGGGTGGTGAGGTCTTTTCAGGATGCTGTACTTCTCAGCCCTGCCGAATCATTCCCATAGCTCGCTCTACTCTCCTTTGGTCTGAATATCCGCTTGGTGTTCTATCTGAAGCTTCATATCACTCCTGCATTTAATTGCCTCTTTCACAATCTTCATGGTCAGATTCTTCAAGCGCGTGCTGTCCAGGTGCTGCCAGTGGTGGCCCTGGGGCCAGAAAACAACACCGAGCTCTTCCAGCACAGTGATACACACTCTTCAACATACCGTGGGAGTCTACTCGTCAGCGATCCCGCGCTCGACTTCCACTATTCCTGACCCCCCCACCGCCTCCACGTTTCTTCAGACGGGCCATCACTCGTGCCAGAGAGGTATGTGGTTGATTTCCGACAAGGCAACAAGTGAATCACTAACATACCGCTTCGAAGGCTATCCAGCACGTTTTCAGAACATGCCATGACTCGGATGACAGCTCCTTTTCTTGGACGTCTGACGACGAGACCACCTCCGACATCGTGACGCTGACCATCAATGGATGGCTGTACAGGACATATTCCCGCGACCGGGTGCATGAATGGCGCATGAGAATTGAGTCACTTCCCGTTCAAGTTGGTGTAATCCACGAGGAAGACGAGCCTGGGGAAGACGGTCCTGTAGCAATGTAACAGTGTGGTGAAAGGATGGGACCAAATACATGATCCCACAGTGGAAAGTGTATCGAGCGCCAGGCGATGGAAGTCGTGAAGTTGAGTAAGGATTTAACGAGCGGATTCTGTGTGCTACTAGTAGATGTTGTCCTTAGCTTTTGATTGTATTCATCTTACAACGATGAAATAATTGGAGATAATATGTTGAATAAAAGGACATACCATATGGTGCTCGAGCCACTGTAGACTAACGAAGTATGTGAAATTCACCAACCGCACCTCCCTCCATTCACTTCACCTTCGACCTATCACTCTCTCATCTTCAATCAATCTCCTTCCTGTGGAAATCAGTCGAATTTCTCCGCCCAGGGATTTTTATTGCTCTAGCAATCTCGCATCAACTTTGGATCAGGTATGATATACCCATTGACCTGAATCTGCTCGTCCTGCTCACTCACATCTCATCTGTACAGTCGAGATCAAACGAACAGCATTAGCCAACTTCCGTCCGTGGGCACATTCGTCTGGTTTGTCCAGATTATCCTGCGTACCAAGAACCAGCTATCCGAATTCGGTGTGAAAAATGCTGCATATCAACTCCGAGTCGGAAGTCGAGCTCCAACGCGAGCTCGACCGTGATCTTCAAGAGGAGCTCGAAGAGCTCGAACGTCGTCAATCTTCACCCCTTCCTGCTACTTACTACCCTTCTGCTACTACTCTCTCTTATTCAAAAGAACCGGCATCTACTCCGGAGCGTCTTCCTTCCGATGAACCCTGCGAACTGTCTGAGAAAGAGATATCGACAACTCCCGTGCGATCCCACGTCACCCCGTCTCAAAGTGACATCCCAACCGGCAACAATCCTTCACCAGAGGACATCAGAAATGCAAGCTATCGAGCTCGAGCAGGTCCATACTGTCTTCACGAAACGGTTCAGCGCTACTGGAGCATCGATTCATTTACGCCTTTGCAATGCGAGAATAAAGATTGCGGTCGACCTGCGCGGTTTCTTTATGAATGCACGGCGGATACAGCAGAATACTCGGCCTTTGAAACGTCGGTCCCCGAGCGAAACATCGATATCTTGCCGAAATGGATTCAAAAGGCTATCGGCGAGGGCAACTACCTTCCAGCCCAAGTGGAAAAGCTCTTGGACCAGAAAATGGAAGTGCTTGAAACTGCAGCCAACTTGCGAGAGCAGGCCCGGCCCTCACATAGGGCTTTGCCTGGAGGGCGAGGGTTATTCAATGACCAAGAGGCAATTGACCAGCGGAACTATCGAGAATTGATGCAACTTTTGTCGGCCCGAACGCGGAGTTTCTCAAATCTGGAGCCCTGTCGAGCAATGTTTTGCACAATGTGTCGGTCTCATACGTCTGATAATTCCTGGGGTAGCATTGCCAAAGTCGTCAATGAGGCCTATAAAGAGCCTCTTCGTACCCGGCAAACATATACCGTCCGATCACTAAAGGGTGGACGCTGCGCGGTCTGCCTGAGGATCCTACACATTGGCAACACACTGCATGGTTTCAAAAGTGGTGGGAAAAGTACCAATATCCAGCCGACAATGGTATTGCACTGGTCCTGAAGCTCGTCGTGGCGCTGAAACTTCCATTCGTCGTTCTCCAAAGCATCCAAGGCTATATCTGTTGGCTTCATATGCCCCCGCTTGAATATCAGGACTATCTCACATGGTTAGAAACTTTAACAGAACAAAGGCTTCGAGAACATGCCGACCGCATCGGGGATCCCTGGGAGCTACAGTTCCAGGCAGAGGCTATCGGATATTCTTACCTTTCACCTGGTACTCCGCCAACCCCACTCAGTATCCACCCGATTTGGGAAGAAGTAGAGATTCAAGATGAAACCTCGAATGAAACATGTGTAATGGCCGTTCCTCACTACGAGTATGCGGCATGTGACCGTTTCATTGGCAGATCTTCGTATCATCTACGAGAAGCTATGTGGAGTTATAACTTCGCTCGATCCCAACTCCTCGGGCTGACACAGAACGAAGATACCGTTCCAAGCGCAGCAGCCGACGATAGCAATCTGACCCCCGAGGCAGAGCCAGAGCCAGAGCCAGAGCCAGAGCCAGAGCCAGAGCCAGAGCCAGACCCTGATTTATCTGGTGTTGAAACAACAGCGATCGATGATTGGTAATTACCTTGTGTCTACCATCGACGATTGCCTCGAGGTGATTTCCGATAGCAAAGGCCGACATGACCAACGAGTCGCCGCTATTGGACCAACAGCATTCAACAATTTCAACTTGCTTCCAGCGCAAGCATCCGAGTATACAGGGATTTTAGGATTTCCGACTCAGATATTCCGACTCATATATTCCGAACGCCCAAAGGAGCAGGACGACGAGTGGAGGGTCTAATCGGGCTGGCAATACCCGCGGGTGGGTCGTCCGCGTGAAGGAAGGCCGAGTCAGGCAGTCCCAACCTTGTTCCGAGCCTCGGTTCCTTCCGCGGCCAGCGCGCGATTCCGCAGTGCCATTATCTTGTGAGCCTTTTGGACTCCAGGCGACCTTAGCTTCGTTTTTTTCTTTCTTATCTCCTTCATCTACTCCCATTCACACCATGGCAGACCCAGAGCTCCCCCCCTCTCCGCCAGCAGAAAAGACCGTGGACGCTCAGCATGTGGGGAATGCTCCGATAGCCGCGGGGAAACCGGCGACAAGACGACAGTTGACGGCGGCTTTGACAGCAGCCGATGTGACCATCAGGAGATTAGATCTGTGAGTATCCCCCCTGTGATACTGCCAGCTATATACCCAGTCGGTGTTTAAATTACTGGGCAACCCCTATCTGCACCATCCCACTCGCACAAACCCGCACAACCACCCGCAAGGACACCGCTGATTTCTCAGTCTCCTCTCCACGGCCGACGGTCAGGAAAGAGTACTAGCAACAGTCAATTATGTCGCATCGATACTACAACACCTATGTGCATCGGCACCCTTCATCGCTTTCCAGACACGCCTCAGCCTTCTCGCACGATTGAAAGGTCGCAGCATACCCAAATCCCTATCTTCCGCGACCACTGGCACCCCATCACCATCGAAATGGGCTGCCCTCTCCTCTCTTGCCTCGGAGACCCGATACACTATCCGTCTCTTCGGCCTTCTCCCTCTGTGGATCTGGGGCTCTGAAACCCTCAAATCACCACCCGCAGACCCCATAATCCGCACTCTCACATACCTCCAAATCATCTCCAACGTGATATACCAGCTCCTCGAGAATGTCGGCTACCTAGCATCAAAGGGCATCATTTCCAAACGCTTCGTCGAAAAATACGGCAGCCTGGTACAATGGGAAATCTGGAGCACCCGCGGCTGGTTTGGACACATTTTCTTTGAATTCTTCGTCCTCTGGCGACGACACATTCTACGGAAACGTCGCGTTGCGGCAAAACGCGCGGCCGCGGGCAACGTCGAAACCAAGGAGATGGTAGAGGAGGAGGACGCCGAAACCCGCGCCGAGATTCGCTCTTGGCGCAAGAGCCTCGTCAACAATATCTGCTGGGCCCCCTTGTGTCTGCACTGGTGCTTTGAGCAAGGAATCGGTGTTCCGGATAACCTTGTCGGTGTGGTTAGCTTCATGGCTGGTGCATGGAGCCTTCACGATATGTGGGGTGCGACGGGCAAGGCAATTCAGGCATAAACTGCATTGATTGATTGTATTCTTCTTTTCTTTTTCTATTTCTTTCTTCAAATATCCCTTCTGTTTTGGCGATCTGGACATACTTTTCATCCTTAGATTCTCATTGCATTGTATGTATTAGGTCAACATAAGAATTTCAACATTTTGGTGAATTTGTTGGTGTTTCATTTTGCGGGGAACCGTCGCCCCCAACCGGACCGAACTTGGCCATGGCGAATAGAGTGGAAGCTATCACTTTCCCGGGAGGTATTTCACTTGAGATATTTGCGGGAAACTTGAACCGCCTGTCACTCTCTGTCTTTAACTTCCCCCACTCCTCTCCGCTACGGGCGCCCAAGGCAAGCTAGACCCCAAATGACTAGCTTGACACCATTCCCGGTTCTAAAAAGGTAAACCGCGACGATCGCGGCAAATGCCATCTGAAAGAATTCGAAAGACAGTGCTATGCATCCTGCAGCCCACCTTCAACACACACGTTTCTGGGCAAAGGATTGAGCTGCCCTGGGGTTCGGTCCCGCTTTATTGATGTGGGGAGTGGGTTCGTGTTCGAGAATGTGGAGTTGGTGGCGGTTCAGAAAGGCATCTTGACGCGAGTTGGGCGGGGATATGAAATTGCTGGACATTCTGCTTTCGGGTAATGACTTGTAAGGCTTATTTTGATGTTGAGCGTTCTAATATCGATGCCGTAATTGGATGTATTTGTCTTCCGGTATTTCGCGATCGTCTCTGTCTTTGTCTCTCATACCCTGCAAGATCATCATCTATTGTCGTCTGTGCTTGTGTCACATCTTTTCTTTTACGCTCTTCGCCCGGCTCTCGCGGCAGATTAATGTCTTTTTTTTTTCACTAAACTTGATCTGCCTGAAAGATCTCTGTCGATTTCTCAATTTCGTTCTTAATATCAGGTGGTATCAATCACTCCGGCGCAGCGTAAGCGTGGCCCTCCCCCCCCCCAGGTTTTCCTCTCCCTACATTCAAAGTCTTTATTTGTCTTCTCCCTCAATTGCGCTTGGGATCTAAATCTCCAGGGTCTAAACGATATAATTTAGGCCAAACCAAACGCTCAATCAGTGGTTAAAACAGATCCAAACGAAATCGATCTCGACGAGAATTACAATCCAACGTACTCGCATGTACAAAACTCATTGCCTTTGAACATACTAATCTTCCGATAATCTGAAGCCACCGGCGTGAGAAAGAAACCTTGCAATCAACCTCGGGGAATTTTGGAGCTCAAACCTTCAACTGGCACTGAATTTGTGGATTGAGAAAAGTTTCCTTGTTAGGAAGAGTATTACATGGGGCTGGAACGATTCTTCGAATAGCAAAATCCCCCTTTGCCTGTGGTAGGATCACTTACAAACTGACCATAGTTGGCTTAAAAGGGCATTGACCCAGACCATGCAATTAGCCATTGATCGGACTTACCCTTGAGCGTCTGTGTTGTTTTAACCTGTCCCTGCCTCGGAGTATCGGTATTGTTGACTCTGATAGCACACGTTCCATTCAATAAGCAATTGGCCAAGTCGGCACTTGCTGACTTTAATCACGCCGCGACTCGTTTTACAGAACTATTAGCTCTATACTAGTGATAGAAAATATTGGCAAGATAAGCAGCGCTTTCAGTAGAGCATTAGTCTTGAAGATGGAGAATAATTCCAGATCATGATAGCACTCCTTGTCAGTATTGCCACCCACAGCAATTTTGATTTCAAATTCAAGCCTTCAATTTGGCACTTGTTGCAATCGACTTAGTTGCGATAGAAGCTTCAGCGTTCGCTTCATGTCAACTTGAAGTACTTTGGGCGTTCTCTGGCACGGCAACAACATGGCGAAAAGCCAGTTCAGTGTTATAACTCTACGAGTGCAACCGATTGCCTGGGTAAGAATTTCGTTTTCCGCAGCTGATCATTGAAAAATAGGTTCCATGGGACAACTTGACTACTGGTATGGCATGCACGGCTGGTTTATCGGGTTCCGATATTAGTACTAATTATCATATGCATCTCCACAGCCATGAATTTTAGGGTCATCATGAGATGGGGCACTAAAACCTAACAACCCCCGCGCCATGATTTGATTGAATTGATTGCAGGTGGCTGGGCCCTGGAGTTTGACTGGTACTAGTACTAATAGTATAGAAAAAGGTACGGGCAGCCAGTTGATTTGGGTGTTTAAATGTTGGGGCTTAGAGATTTCCAGTTATCTAATCCGATCCCGGATTTGGCTGCTGCTACATTATTCCCCTCATAAGAGAATACGAGGGTTCTCTTCTCATCAGACGGAGTATTCTCAAGGGAGCCATAATTGTAGTCGGTGCCCATTTGATCATACCAGACCTAAAGAGGAAGACTACTATAAATCGAAGCGTTTTGGGTGAATAGCTCCAAATTTGAAAGGAGTAGCGCCGTTACTATTTCTTTCATAAACACCATGGTTCAAGAGGAAACTTCCAGGCATCTCCGCTCCGACCCTTGGATTCCAGACACTCTGATGAGTTCACAAAGAGAAGTTCCCCAATCACTTCTAACCTTTACCCCACAATGTACAGAGGAACTAACGCTAGTTGGTTGAAGACAACAGGGTTTAAGCCTCAGGCAGCGAGATCGACCAACTTCCATCAGATTCGCTGGTGGCGGAGAGTGGGTGACATAATACGGCTTAGGTCATCCTCTATCGTCACTCACTCGCGGCGGGTACCTGGGAAGCTCAACACCTATCCTCATCTTCATCTCCTCGCCGTCGGATCCTTTCTCTGGTCTGCTGGTTTCTTTCCCATCTCCATCCTCTTTTTTATCATTCGCCTTTATTTCCTTCACTTGCTCGAGCTACGCCCGCCCGCTCGATTGTGATATCCCCAACCTTTGCTTTCCCCAAGCTCCGCTCTCGTCAACGTCACATATCTCAGATCCTTCACGATGTCCGCCGAGCCGGATCACACCCACGAGAAGAAGAGAGTCAACCTCAAGTACGTCCACGGCTGACTTTCTTTCAGTCTTTGCAATCCAAATGGCTAACGGTGATACTAGGGATGGCTCTGGCGCCGAGCACAAGGAGGTGGGTTGAACAGCACGGCAATATACCTTGGCCTAAACGGACACTAACAAGCCATAGGAGCTCGACACCGCTACCGCTATCCTCAAGAAGAAGAAGAAGCCTAACTCTTTGATGTAAAAACCCTTCCCCATCGGATTGATGATAGGTCTCTGAGGAGGAGGATACTGACAGCTCATCAACAGCGTGACCGATGCCGTGAACGATGACAACTCAGTTATCGCTCTTTCCAACAACACTATGGAAACCCTCCAACTTTTCCGCGGTGATACAGTTCTGGTGAAGGGAAAGAAGCGCAAGGACACTGTTCTGATCGTCCTGGCTGATGATGACCTGGATGATGGAAGTGCCCGCATTAACCGTGTTGTGCGACACAACCTCCGTGTCAAGCACGGTGATGTTATTACCGTCCACGCTTGCCCCGATATTAAATACGTACGTCTATATTTTGCCACTGCTTTTACCTAGTGTCTTTGACTAACCGCATCTCTTAACTACTCCAGGCTAAGCGCATTGCCGTCCTACCTATCGCCGACACCATCGAGGGTCTCACCGGCTCCCTCTTCGACGTCTACCTCGCTCCTTACTTCCGCGAAGCCTACCGACCAGTGCGTCAGGGCGACCTGTTCACAGTACGAGGTGGTATGAGACAAGTAGAATTTAAGGTTGTGGAGGTTGATCCCCCAGAGTACGGCATCGTCGCGCAAGATACCATTATTCACTGCGAGGGCGAGCCCATCCAGCGTGAGGATGAGGAGGGTAACCTCAACGAGGTTGGCTACGATGATATTGGTGGTTGCCGGAAACAAATGGCTCAGATCCGCGAGTTGGTCGAGCTGCCTCTCCGCCACCCTCAGCTGTTCAAGTCCATTGGTATCAAGCCTCCTCGTGGTATCCTCATGTACGGTCCCCCTGGTACTGGTAAGACCCTGATGGCCCGTGCCGTTGCCAACGAGACCGGTGCTTTCTTCTTCCTTATCAACGGTCCCGAGATCATGTCCAAGATGGCCGGTGAGTCGGAGTCCAACCTCCGCAAGGCCTTCGAGGAGGCCGAGAAGAACTCCCCCGCCATTATCTTCATCGATGAGATCGATTCCATCGCCCCCAAGCGTGAGAAGACCAACGGTGAGGTCGAGCGCCGTGTCGTATCTCAGCTCCTTACCCTTATGGACGGTATGAAGGCTCGCTCCAACGTCGTTGTTATGGCCGCCACCAACCGTCCCAACTCCATCGACCCCGCTCTACGTCGTTTCGGTCGCTTCGACCGCGAAGTCGACATTGGTATTCCCGACCCCACCGGCCGTCTCGAGATTATGTCCATTCACACCAAGAACATGAAGCTCGGCGACGATGTTGACCTGGAGACTATTGCCGCCGAGACCCACGGTTACGTCGGTTCCGATCTGGCCTCGCTGTGCTCTGAGGCTGCCATGCAGCAAATTCGTGAGAAGATGGATCTCATCGATCTTGATGAGGATACCATCGAAGCCGAGGTCCTGGACTCCCTTGGCGTTACCATGGAGAACTTCCGCTACGCCCTGGGTGTTTCCAACCCCTCCGCACTGCGCGAGGTTGCCGTGGTCGAGGTTCCCAACGTCCGCTGGGACGACATTGGTGGTCTGGAGGAGGTCAAGCGCGAGCTTATCGAGAGTGTCCAGTACCCCGTGGACCACCCCGAGATGTTCCAGAAGTTCGGTCTCTCTCCCTCTCGCGGTGTGCTGTTCTACGGTCCCCCTGGTACCGGTAAGACCATGCTGGCCAAGGCTGTCGCCAACGAGTGCGCTGCCAACTTCATTTCCGTCAAGGGCCCTGAGCTGTTGAGCATGTGGTTCGGTGAGTCGGAGAGCAACATCCGTGACATCTTCGACAAGGCTCGTGCCGCCGCTCCCTGCGTTGTCTTCCTTGACGAGCTCGACTCTATTGCCAAGTCTCGTGGTGGCTCCGTTGGTGATGCCGGCGGTGCTTCTGACCGTGTTGTCAACCAGCTCCTGACCGGTAAGCATAACATCTACTAACTTCAATCCGAACATTGCTAATATTCCAAACAGAGATGGATGGTATGACCTCTAAGAAGAACGTCTTCGTCATCGGCGCTACCAACCGTCCCGAGCAGCTCGATGCTGCCCTGGTCCGTCCCGGCCGTCTTGACACCCTGGTCTACGTTCCCCTGCCCGACCAGGCTTCCCGTGAAGGTATCCTCAAGGCCCAGCTCCGCAAGACCCCCGTCGCCGGCGACGTCGATATTCCCTTCATCGCCAGCAAGACCCACGGTTTCTCCGGTGCCGATCTTGGTTTCGTGACTCAGCGTGCCGTCAAGCTCGCTATCAAGGAGGCCATCTCCCTGGATATCGAGAAGACCAAGGCCCGCGAGGCCGCCGGTGAGGACGTCACAATGGACGATGAGGATGTAGAGGAGGAGGACCCCGTGCCCGAGCTCACTCGTGCCCACTTTGAGGAGGCCATGAAGACAGCCCGCCGCTCTGTCAGCGACGTCGAGATCCGCCGCTATGAGGCCTTCGCTCAGAGTCTGAAGAACTCTGGAGGCAGCAGCTTCTTCCGCTTCCCCTCTGCCGGCGAAGTCCAGAACAACGACACATTCGGCGAAGCCGGCAACGATGACAGCCTCTACGACTAAACGGGTTCCTTTTTTCTTTTCGTTTTCCTTGTTTCCCCTCCCTCTTATTCTCCGCTCCGGTTGACGACTTGTCCTTTCTGCTTTCTGGGCCGTTTAGTTCTTCGGTCGGGGTTTCGCGCTAAAGATCATATGGGTAGATCGTTTCTGAGGTTGGGGAACTTGCTTTGAGGATGGGGCTTCGGCTCTGTTCTTGTCGATTTGGTTTTTTCCTGTTCTTTCCCTCATACAATGTGCCATAATAGCAATACAACTGGAGAAATTTTATGTTTATATCGCTTTATACATCGAGTTGTAACATTTTACTAGTAGCGAGTATTAAACCCGAATGTCGTCTTAATGTTAGCGTTCCAAGGTTGTCTTGAGATCCATTCGAGTCTTAAGATGCCTACCTCTAGCGTGGTATAATCCTACCAACTAGTACCTAGGTCGGTAGGTAGCCCTGGAGACAATGATGAATCCTATGAACTTCCAAGGGTTTCTAAGTAGCCATCCCCAAGTTGAACTTGAAATTACGGTATGTTTAGTCTAGACATTTACTTTGCAAAACTTAAGGACTATTACAGTTATCCATTATCGTATATGCACGTAAGCTCTAATGTGAGTAGGGAATTGAAGCGCTTCGCAGAAAGAAACGAAAAAGACCACCGCGGAAATCAAAAAGCCAGCCCAAACGCCTCTTGTGCAGAATTATGCTCGCTTCTATGCGATATCAAGACTTCTACTAGTATCTCGGATCGTTCATCCGCACATATTCCCATTTAAAACTTGGGAGTAAAGCGACTCATGGCACGGATCTTCGCGCCGTAAAAGAAGAACAGAATGGGGATGGGAATCATTGCAATGGTAATGAAGCCCAGCACACTCGAGGCCCAGTTGACGCCCAGCTTGTGATACATCTGCGTCGCGAAGAGGGGGAATGCACCGCCGAGCGTGGATCGAATCAGGGTGTTCGCGGCGATAGCACTATTGGCGTACATCATGTAGACATCAATGATGTAGTTGAGGCCCTGCATGAAGATAACCAGGATACCCATGCCGATTGGGATGCCGGCGATGACTTGGGGAGCCCAGTGTACGTTTGGCGACGAGGTCCACCCGAACCAGAAGAGGCCGATGGGCAAGAGAACGGAGGCAATCATCATGGGGACAAGGCGTTCTTCTGGGACGACACGGCCGTGCTTCTTCAGCTTGCGGGCGAAACGGGTCTTGGTGGTGTAGATGATCAAAGTCACACCGCAGAGCACACCGATCATGATACCGATGAAGGGGAGGGCGGCGATGCCTTCGGATTCCCAGCCACGCACTTCGGAGAAAGAGACGGGGTAGGCCTCGAAGAAGAGATAGAGGATACCGTAGATAAGAGCGAGGTAGATGGTAATGCAGATCAGAATGGGCTCCATGGCCAGCATCTGGAAGGGTCGCAGGAGGTACTTGTAGACGATGTCGCTCATGCTAGGTTCATGCTCGTTGAGGAAGGAGTGTAGGGCCCAGTTGCGGGTTTCGCGACGCAGACGAGCAGCGCGCATCTGCAGAAGCTTCGGGCCGTAGGTCTCGGGGACGATGATCAGAGCAAGGAGGCCGAAGAATGAGGAGGCGATCAGGGTGAGCCATGCGGTCCAGCGCCAGCCCAGGTAGGAATCGGTGACGAAACCTCCACTATAGGTTGAGTTAGATATGATTTTGTTCCGATTTGAGGGTAATGTTTTTCCAACTTACATGATAGGACCAAGAGTAGGGCCCAGGAAAGTGGCCGCGCTGAACATGGCAATAGCGACGGCGCGATCAACGGGGTCCCAGATATCAGCCATAGCACCACCCACCACGGCAAGAGGAGAGCAGCCAAAGACACCTTGCAAGAAACGACAGATCATGATGGTCTCGACATTCTGTGCCACGGCAACGGGGATCTGAAAAATGGCGAAGATAGCATAGCCGGAGAAGAGAGGTAGACGACGGCCGTATAGTTCGCTGAGTGGAGCCCAGAAGAGAGGACCTAAAGCAAAGCCGAAGACAGTCAAACTGGTACCAAGAATCATCACTTCAGACGAGACGTTGAATTCCTTCGCGGTGACGAGGGTTGCAGTTGAGAAGACACTGCTGGCGAATGTGATCCACATGGTCATGGAGGACATGACCACAGTGATTACCCATTTTCGCACGCGCGAAAAGTTCTGAGGGTTTTCAGGATCATTGGGTCCATCCCATTCGACGAGATTAGGGTCCTTGTCCTTTTCGGTGGGCTTCTCTGGTTCAGACTGGCTTTGCGCATTCTCGAGGTCGTTGTCGTTGTCGTTGTCGTTGTGGTTATCATGAGATGATGGAGGCGATGAAGTCAGTTCCTTCTCGGCATTAGGGCCGATTGGCTCGGTGAGGTTGTTGCGAGCGTCCATGCTTAATCGTGGGGTTGTTGTAGTTGAATCGAAATCCACGGGATGGTTGGCCATTGCTGGAGGGGGTGACGATGCAATGATGCCTACCTAGGAAGAAGGTGCCAATGAGTACTCTGTAGAATAACTCGTACTCAGTAGTATCCAAACTGTAAGTTGATATTGAAATACTAGGTTGAAAGACCCTGGAAGTGTGGGCATCCAGAAATATTTAAGGACCAGGGGATAGCTTTGTTCGTGGGTCTTCTATCAAACAATCTAGAAGGAGACCCTCCGGAGCTAAGCAGCATTCGGGGTATAGGAGTATGGCCAACCGAAAACCTCGTGGGCAGCCCCATATTTTTCTCGGGATCGCTCCACATAGTGGGTTTAAATCCGAAAGAGAAAAAAAAACTTGAACGCGAGACACCGAGCTTGAACTTGAACTTGAACTTGAATCAGTGCCGCTCTTCCGCATGTGGCCCCCAGTGTTAGTACAAAATATACAGATTATGGTTAGTCTAATGCCAAGAGACAAGGCTTTGGCCCCGAGAACAACAGTGAGTCAGGATGATATGTCAACATGGAGGTGAAGGCGCATGAAAAAGCACGTTGCGATTGCGTAAGTCAGGATGGGTGGGGATTGAAGAAGTTGAATGTTGCAAGATGATTCGGTAGGTTCAAATTCGGGCTCGGCCTTCGCGTGGGCCCGAACGGCCGGCTCTGCAACTTTCGGCAGATGCCGCCTGTTGATACGCCGAGTCCGTGATTGCACCTCGAATTTCCCGAGATCTAGATCATCTATATGATAGGTTCGATTTGGTGTGGACGTCCTATTCTAGTATAACAGGGTAGGTGCATGTGATAAGATGGTATGATATCCATGGATACTAGTGTTGTATTCAGGTTTCTCGGCGTGGATATTCAACGACTTCAACTTGGTAACCTTGGATTCGGAATACTAAGGTGCTAATACTCCAGAGTAGCATGGATAGCATAGTTAACCTAATGCTAGTAGTGGAGACCAAGGTATTTTACAAGCTTGACTTGAATGGCCTCGGACCTCAGCAGTCGGAGATAACCATAGAATCAAAGTTAGTCCCGATGTCTTACTTCTGATATTGTAAGCTGTTCAAGTTTCAAACAATGGGTCTAGCAGTGGCTCATTGGACTTATGAATGGCGAATTGAGGATGACGTCGAGGATTGAGGACTACACATTGGTGTTATTACTAAGGTGCTCTACCATGCAATTGAAGTACCTCAGGCAACTACTAGTAGTACTAGTAGTACGAGTAGTACGAGTAATACATTCAGATATTTATGGCCGGGTTTGAGTACTTAGGGTAGCAGACTCGTGACTATATTATCTGCTATCCTACCTACTACTACTAATATCAAGGTACTAGTATACTTCCCGAGGCTCAAGGTTGACCCATCTGCTAGTTTTACATGCTAACCCCTTTGTTTATCAACACAGAAGTTGATATCTAGGTAGAGAACAGAAGAGATGTATATATAATATATCAACTAAATGTTATATTAATACATGATCAATTATCTGATCCAATGTGCCAATATTTGTTGAATGTAAGGGTAGGTGTATACTAACTCTACTCCCAGACGCGATCCCGTGCGACGCGTCTCGGGCGGTCACACGCCAACCTTCCTCGAAACCCTTTCTGCACCCATTCACCCACCACCCCATCTCTTATGCGAGCCCCTCTTCACCATGCCTTCGCGCACTCGCCAAGCTCCCGTTGAGGAGCCGGAGGAGTATTCAGGCCTTCGAGGTCTGGCCTTCAACCAGCCGCTCTCCTGGCGCGTGGGGCGTGCCGCCATCCCCATTGCCGATCTACTCGACCGTCTCCAGGCCCTGGCCCAAGAGCTCCGCAAGCTTGAACAGGAGGAAATTGATAAGGAATCCTTGCGCAAGGTCTCCCAGGAGCTTTCTAGCGCCAACTTACTCGCCCACAAGGATAAGGGAGTCCGTGCCTGGGCTACTTGCTGTATCGTTGATGTCTTGCGACTGTGTGCGCCGGATGCGCCCTTTACCAGAAACCAGCTCAAGGTGCGCTCTTTGTTGATCGCGACACGATTTCCGGTTGCCCTCAATTGATAGTATCACGCTGACAATCTCACCCCGAAACAGGATATCTTCACATGCATCGTCACCTCAGTCATCCCCGCACTGGCCGATCCATCCAATGCCTACAATGCACAGCAAACTTATGTCTTAGGCTCACTCGCCGAGGTCAAGAGTGTCGTCCTTATGACTGATCTTGATCACCCCGACTCGCTCATCGTTCCCCTTTTCTCTAGCTGCTTCGACATCGTCTCGGGGTCCTCAAAAACATCGACTGGAGAGGAGATTGCGAAGGGTGTGGAATTTGACATGACGAGGCTGCTGGTGACAGTCATTGACGAAACACCAGTCTTGGCTGCTGAAGTGGTCGATACCATTGTCGCGCAGTTCCTTCGTGTTGACCCTCGGGTGCTGGATAATCCCAAGAAGGGCAAACGTGCCGACGCACCGATTGATACCAGGCAAGATACCCTCCTATTAAAGGACTACCCGCCTGCCTACAACATGGCCAAGGCGATCTGCCAGGCTTGCCCCGAGCGCATGACTAGCCACATCAGTCAATATTTCAACAATGTCATCATCGACGCATCCGCCCCTGGACAATCGCACGGCTCGAAGGGTGGCCCCCGCAAGCCGAATCTCGACGACTCGGACGAGGAGGGCGAGGATATTAAAGAATTGAGCAAAGCCCATCGCCTAATCAGGGAGCTTTGGCGGGCCTGTCCTGAGGTCTTGCAGAATGTGATCCCGCAGGTCGAAGCTGAACTGTCTGCCGAGTCAGTGGCTCTCCGTTTGCTAGCTACACAGACCATTGGAGATCTTGCGGCAGGAATTGGTGTTGCCGGCCCCCCTCCGTCTCCTCCAATGGACCCAGCGGCTTACCCGCCAGTGACCCTAGAGGGATATGCGCAGACGGTCGCTCAACCGAGCATTCTTTTGACGCCAATCTCTCTGAAGCCCTTTTCCCAAGTACACAACTCGGCCTATGAGGCATTCCTCAGTCGCCGGCAAGATAAGACACCTTCAGTCCGTGCCGCTTGGGTCACCGTTGTCGGGCGCATCCTCTTAACATCAGCGGGTGGTTCTGGCTTGAGTCAAAGTGAAGAGCAGGGCCTTGTCAACTGCCTGGTCACATTGCTGCAGGACGCTGATGAGAAGGTTCGTGTCGCTGCAGTTGATACGATTGGACAATTTGGCTTCGACCACGTTGTTCATAAACTCGGCATCAAGGGCGGTTGCTCCACCCCGGACTCAGTATTTGCTGTCCTCGCAGACCGAGTGAAGGACCGTAAGCCACAAGTCCGTGAGCATGCGATGAAGATTCTTGCCCGCATCTGGGCGGTAGCTGCTGGAGATATTGAACAAAACGCCGAACCCGTGGTGTCCCTTTTGAAAGACGTCCCAACTAAAATATTTGATGCTTTCTACACTAACGACCCGGAGATTCACATTCTTATCGACCGAGTGCTTTTTGAGACACTGCTTCCGCTTAACTATCCTCCCCTCAAGTCGAAGCTCTCGCGTGGAGGCTCCAATCTATCTCAAAAAGGGAAAGGGGAAGAAGGTCAAGGCCAGGATACTGATCAAGAAACCGATGTCGAAAAAATCCGCGTTCGCCGGATCCTGACCTTGCTTCGTGGCCTTGGTGAGAAGGCCAGACGCGTGTTCTTCGTCATGCTTCCTCGTCAACTGGCCATGAGATCGGCTATGACACTTTATCTCGAAGCATGTGAGAAATATAACGGCGGGGTAACCGACAAGAATGCAGACTCAGCCAAGGCACAATTGTCGAGGGTCATTGACTCATTATCGAAAACCTTCCCAGATTCCTCCCGCGCCTCGGCGGACTTGTGGAAGTTTGCCAAGGCCCATGACCGGCGCGGCTACCATCTCGTCCGTTGTTCCATGGATGCTACCAGTGATTATCGTACGGTGATCAAGGCGATGAAAGAACTTCAGAGAAGAGCCCAGAGTGCAAACAACTCCCCTTTGCTGGAAACCATCACACCTCTTCTCTACCGATCCGGATCGTTGATCTTCAACCGCAGTCACATCCCAGCGATCATGAGTCTTTCCCGAACTGATGAAAATGGACTGGCCAGTGCTGCACAAGAAATGTTGAAGCAGATTTCTTCTCAGAATCCTGAGGTTTTAGAAGCCCAAGTTCAGCAGATGTGTAAAGATCTTGAGGCACAAGCTCCAAAGGCCAATTCTGCTGGCGATGCTAGCGCCGAAGAAATTCTCAAGGCCTGTGCTGGCTTTGCGAAAAAGCTTCCAGCAAAACTGCCCAAGGAGCGCAAGTTCTTCCAGGCCCTCACAAACTATGCTCTTTACAGCACCTCGCCGCGTTCCGCTAAGCATGCCGTTTCAATCCTCATGGCCACTGCTGACAAGAAAGAGATGTACGCCAAAGAACTTGTTCAAAAGTGTATCAAGAAGTGGGAATATGGATCGGATCACTCCCTGACTCGCCTTGGCGCATTGTCACAGCTAAACCTTCTTGTCCCCCGTGAAGCAGATGAGGAAAGCGATGCCATCATCTCAATAGCTGTGAACCAGATTCTTCTCACGAATCGTTCTCCAGACACAAAATCCGGATACACATGGTCCGAGACAGTTGATGAAGAGACCCAGAACAAAGAATGGGCGCTGAAGATTATTGTAAATCGCCTGCGAGCCAAGGATGGTTCTGATGACGATGCGGACTTCCGGGAGCATGCCAAACCAGTGTATGAAACTTTGAATAAGCTAATCGCAGGCGAGGGCGAATTATCAAAGAAGAAAGATACCCCTTCATCTCAGAAATCCCGATTGCGTCTTCTTGCTGCCAGGTCTGTTGTCAAGCTATGTGCCTCCAACAGTCTTTGCGATCAATTATTGGCCCCCGTGGACTTCAATTCGATTGCCTTGATGGCCCAAGACCCGCTTCTTCAAGTCCGAAGTGGCTTCGTTAATCACCTGAAGAAGAAGCTGGTTCAAAAGTCTTATTTGTC